TACTGAATTTAAGTAGAAAGAAGGCAGGGCCAAAAAGCCTCTGAAAACATTTTAAATGTAGAGTTTACCTTACTGAGGAAACCTCCATCTAAGGAGGAACTGCATGCGTTAGTACCAGTGACTGTTGGTCTCACGCCTCCCATTTGGGAATAAATAGGTTCTGCTCTTGTGTTATCTCAGGCCCCAGATGGTGTAAAATGAAGCTGTTTCAGGAAATGCTGATTCTGAACCCTGTGTTAAACCTCGAGTTGGCTGTACAGGGCAAGAGCTTGGAAGGCTAAGAGTTTGACAGCGGAATGGCCGAGAACCTTTTTTTTTTTTTTTTTTTTTTGCCACCTAACTCTAAACAAGTGGTCTTAAACTCAGAAAGATTTATTTATTTATTTTTTTAATTATTTTTTATTAAATCACAACTTTGTACATTGACCCATTTATGGGGTTTGGGGTACTGCTTCAATATATAATGTGAAATATGTTGAACTAAGTAACACATCCATCACAATTATACTCATTTTTAAATAGTTTTGAAATGTACCATTGCATCATGCACATTAGGGCAGGTCCCCCCAAATACCCTCCCTCTGCCCATATCCCCCCTCCCCTCTCCACTCTCTCTTCTTCCCTTCTACTTTCTGGACTATAGTTATGTTTTGCTATTCATATGAGTGTATAGGTGGTTATATATTGATTTTATAGTAGTATTGAGTACATTGGATGCTTTCTTCACCATTCTTGAGATACTTTACTAAGAAGAATATGTTCCAGCTCCATCCAGATAGACATAAAAGATGTGAGGTCTCCATCTTTTTATGGCTGCATAGTATTCCATGGAGTACATAGACCACCATTTGTTAATCCATTCATGGGTGGATGGGCACTTGGGCTATTTTCATGTCTTGGCTATTATGAATTGGGCTGCATTACACATTCTGGTGCAGATGTCTTTGTTGTAATGTATGATTTTTGATCATCTGGGTATATACTTAGTAGAGGAATTGCAGGATTGAATGGTAGGTCTACTTTTAGTTCTTGAGTTTTCTCCAAACTTCTTTCCAAAAGGCCATATTAGTTTGCATTCCCACCAGAGTGTAGAATTGTTCCCTTCCCTCCACATCCATGCCAGCATCTGTAGTTTTGGGATTTTGTGATGTGAGCTAGTCTTACTGGAGTTAGATGATATCTCAAAGTGGTTTTGATTTGCATTTCTCTGATGATTAAAGATGATGAGCATTTTTTCATGTGTCTGTAGGCCCTGCACCTGTCTTCAGAGAACTTGATGTTGAAGTCTCTTGCCCACATAGAAATGGGGTTATTTATTCTTTTCTTACTGATTAGTTTGAGTTCTCTGTAGATTCTAGTTATCAGACCTTTGTCGTCAGAAACACACTTAAAGCTGATTCATCTTATGTTTGAAATTAGCAGTTTTATTTTGAATATTCAAAGAAATAATGGGGGAAGTATAAATGAGAAGTTTGCTTACCCTGTATTTCACAGAGGGTGTTTTGGAAGAAAAATTTATTTTAATGTTTTGCCTCTTATCTAAATTCTTACCTACAATGCTGGTTCTTATTGTTTTTTATCTTTAATGTTTTTATTCTATGTATGCTGAGTGCATACAAAACTGACTTTGAAAAATTTCTCCCAAAGCAACACATTGAAAAGTTCTTTACACATAGTAAAGTTCTTGTTATGTTGCCCCACACTGACATCGAATTTTTATTATTTTATTTTTAGATGGAAATTGTGACTCTGGACAAGTGCACCACACCATATCCAGATTCTGGTTGCTATGGTAGTTAGGAGGCAGATGAGATCACTTTTTAAGATCGTCCCATAGTCTTACTGGAAAACTGAAGTGTCCCAGTTCGTGAATGTGTGTTCTAAAAGTTCAGTTGTAAATTGGTTCTCAGGAGCATTTTTCATAGGAACAGTATTAAAAGGTGGTTTTGTATGCTGTAGGCCAGCCATTTATTTAGCCCCCAGTGTTGCAAAAAAACACTGTCCTTTTTGGTGACAAATAAGGTGATGTCTATTGGAGTTCACAGGTAGGAAAGTCAGCAGTGAGTCCCAAAGTGACTGCAGCTACTTCCTGACCCCTTCCCTCTTGGTTGGCCTTTACAGCTGTGATGATCTGCCTTGTGCTCTCAAGAGGCAGACGTAGAAATGCTTCCTTCCAGCCTACTGTCCTTTTTAGTGTTTCACTTTCTTTTTAACTGAGATTCTTGAAAACTTAGATTCCCTTACCAGCTCACTCTTAGCCCATTAAGATACCACCGTGAGCAGAGAGAAAGGAGCTCTCATACACTGTTGGTGGGACTGCAAACTAGTGCAACCTCTATGGAAAATTGTATAGTGATACTTCAGAGAGCTTTAGGTAGTAGACCTACCTACCATTTGACCCAGCAGTCAAACCACTGTATACCACTGCTGGGTATACACCCAAAGGAAAAAGAGGACGACTGCACTTGAATGTTTATAGCAGCAGAGTTCACAATCACAAAGATGCAGAAACCACCTAGGTGCCCCCCAGTATGTGAGTGGATTATTAAACTGTGGTATATGCATACTGTGCAGTTCTACTCAGCCACAAGATGTGGTGATCTGGTATCTTTTTGGATAACCTGGATGGAACTGGAAATCATTCTTCAAAGTAAAACATCACAAGAGTGAGAAACACATGTGCTCAGTGCCAGGTTGGGAGTGAGGTCAGTGCACACGTGGATGCAGGTCTCTCTAGTGTCCAGTTGGGACTAATGGATCACAGGTCAGTGCACACAAGCACACAGGTCTCTCTAGTGTCCAGTTGGGACTAATGGATCACAGGTCGGTGCACATGAGCACACAGGTCTCTCTAGTGTCCAGGTGGGACTAATGGATCACAAGTCAGTGCACACGAGCACACAGGTCTTTCTAGTGTCCAGGTGGGACTAATGGATCACAGGTCAGTGCACATGAGCACACAGCTCTCTCTAGTGTCCAGTTGGGACTAATGGATCACAGGTCAGTGCACACGAGCACACAGGTCTCTCTAGTGTCCAG